GAGTATTAAAAATTTTGATTGTAAATTGATTCAGCTTGAAATTCAAAATTTGATCGTTTACAGCAATCGGTTGTGTCAAACAAAGTGAGTAAGCCAGGTGAGAAAACACATTCTACCGGGAATCGCAACAAAACAAGTGATAATGACGACATTCACAAAATGCTCGTAAAATACCACACCTACAATTTGGGCGATATCCTATGGGATGAGAGGTTTTCCTTTATGGCCTTGCAAGGTTCGATCAATAAAATTTTTATAATACAACTTTTACTTATGGATATAAAATTTTTAATTTAAAAATTTTCGCACAATTTTTCAGATTGAAAGTTTTCCTGTGGAAAATAACATGGTGAATTTATATTTTTACGGCGATAAAACAAGAGCCAAAATGTACAAAACGACACTGAGCACGTTTGAGGAAGGCATCAGAAATTTTGCGCCAGGCAGCAGAATTCTGCTTAACAAAGCCGTAAAAGAGGCATTAATTGAAAAACAGGCTCAACAGTTTGGCGAAAAATAAACACAAAAAGTGTTCAAAAGTCGTGATTATAATAAATTGATATTCAATTTAATTGTTTTCTTATATTTCTATGATGCGAAAACTCTCAATTCCGATTGGAATTCGAAAATACAAATGTAAATAAATGATTTGCAATTTATAATGTCCAAATTGTGATCCAAAGTTTGATTTTTATTTAGTTTGATTTGAGGCACGATGATAACACGAAAAAACGATGAAAGTAGAAGCATTTTAGAAAAAAACACCAAAACTAGTATGTTTGCCATGTAACAATACGGTGGTTGTTCGATAAAAAAAAATATTTAACTTCAAAAAATTTCAAATAAAACACTTCGACTAGTCAGCTCAACACTTTTCTTTATTTCGGTCCTTTTTCAATGTAATGTTGCTTGTTAATGAATACATGTGTTTTGTCATCATTTTTGTTGAAAATTCGTCTAAATTCTGTCGACTGTGATACCCAGGTCGTGCCACAAAGTCCTTTCGAACAAAATTGAATTTTCAGAGGTAATGAACGTTAGAATAGTTCCACCGCTGTTAAATCGGGCTGTGCGGCCTGCGCGATAAGCGTATATTTTTGTGCTGATTGAACCGTCCAAATACGGAACATCGAAGTTGATGACGATTTCAACATTATTGTTATTGATCGCACGAGAGAACAAATTTGTCGAAACAATAATTTTGAGTTTGTTGTTTAGAAAGTTTTGCATGGTTCGGTCCCGATGTCCCTGGGCGGATTTATTAGTCACAACTTCAATCTGGAATTTTCCTCGTAGTGCCTTCACCACGCCAATGGCTGTTTCTTTTCGCTACAAATTTTTTTTTATTCAATTAGAAAAATGTAACACAAAATAAAAATTTTTGAATAGAAAATTTTTTTACCGCACAGAATATGATCACTTGACCATTGATCACCGTCTCCAAACACTCTGTCAATTGTTTCATTTTATCCATGAAGTTTACTGTGACAGCATAAAAATGCCGCATATTCAAGCTCAACACTGGTGTAGATATGAACTCGCTGATTTCAATACCCGCTTTGGTTTTGAATGGGCTGCTTGACATATACATAAAAATACAGCTCAAGGTTTGAATGGCTGCCGTAACCTTAGCAAAGTGTGCCGTAACGTCGGCGTCATCAAAGCAAACAAGTTTTACATATTCAGAGCGTATTTTTTGTTCGTTGATTATATCGGCCAATATTATTGGAGTGCCAATCAAAATTTGCGCCGCCGTATTTGTTTGATATTAGCAGACTACACTTGAAGTTATGTTAGTGTATTTTGCGATTTCATCAATATTTTGTTTCATCATTACGGCTGCCTCATATGTATACACAAAACACAACACCTGTGTTTCTTCGACATTTGGGTTTACACAATCTGTCATAGCAATAGCCATGGTAGTCGATTTACCAACGCCCATTCCTGCGCGAATCGCGACGCTGGATTCAGCCGACAAAATCAATGGCAGCGCAATATGCTGCGAAAAAACAGAGAGAAATTTGAACAATGTTTTTTCATTAATGTTTATTTAAACATTCGTTGTCAAAATGGTAAAACTTTTAAAAATACCTGTAAAACTGTCGCACGTTGTAGACCAATTTCTGATAAGCCACGTTGAATTTCTTCATTTCTGAAAAATCAATCAACATATATAATTTGTATACATACAACTGTCCATTATTCTTTGAACTTACATCAATATATCAGAAAAATCGCACATTTCAAGCATGTAGTTGACTGCTGTTTCTCTGGCTTCTTCAGCGTTGACGGAAAAAATTTCGTAAATGGAAGGTGCGACGAATCGAATAATTCTATTTTCAGCGGCTCGAGTCTTCAGCGATTCTTCTAATGTTGAAGAAATAAAAAATAAATTCCCAAGTGTCCGCATGTTTTTTTTTACACCAAACAATAGTAATGAGACAAAAGAAATCAATTATGAAATTCAACTTACCAGATGTGCTCGGAGCAGTTGGGCCAAGTTCCGTAGAAGTCACGCCACCAATTGGTGGTGCAATGGTTGTTGTATTAAATTCACCGAGTGATGGAGCTGAAGGTGAAATTGCTATTGCATCTAATGAGAAGTTCCCAAAATAACCAAAATAAATCAAAAACACAAATCATTCGGAGGGAAAAATAAAACATCTAATTTAGTATGTGAAGTAAAATTTAAATCTTTTATAAAATTTAGTGAAATTTGAAAAAAAAAATTATATTTACCAATTGGAGATCCCCAGTTAGGCCATAAATAGTATAAACTTTTTTCATCGTCTGATGAGCTGTCTTCGCCAGGAATAAAACCACCATAAGCTCCATTTTCACTTCGAATTTCCTCTTCGAATGACTCTGGTTTTTCTGCAAAATTTGATTAGAACGTGATATAAAATTTAAATTTTTTATAAAATTTAGTGAAGTTTGAAAAAAAAAAATTATATTTACCAAGTGGAGGTCCCAAATCAGGCCGCAAGTCATGTAAACTTTTTGTATCATCTGATTTGTCAACACAATTTTTGGAGGCAGCTTCCTGTCCGGCAATAGTTTCAAACAAAGACAATGTTTCCATACATTGTCTTGAAGCCTCCGCAGGACTCCAATCACCATCATACTGTCTTCCTATCAATTCCAGGGCTGGCACCAAGTGACCCATGATTCGACGGGTATAGAATTTATTTTTCGATACTGTTTGTTGACAGTTTTCACGGAATAGCTGGCCTTTAATCA